TATATATATATATATATATATATATATATATATATATATATATATATATTATCTTTATGTTTGAAGCCTGAAATGTGGCAAAATGTTGAAAAGTTCAAGGGGGCCGAATACTTTCACAAGGCACTGTATATATATTTTATTTGCATTTTATTTTTTTATTTTTTTTGCGGATCCCTGGGGGTCTGGGGGACCCCAGTTTGAGAACCACTGCTATAACAGATAAAGTTGTCAGCGATTGGTTTGGTCACAATATGAAGTTTATAAGTTTGTGTTTAAAGGCCCACTAACAGTTGAGTGAGCACAACGTCATCAGTTGTTTTGCTAACATGTTGGAGATGAACATTCTGTTCTCTGTTGCAGGTGCTCCAAGGAGTCCGCGCACAAAGACTTCAAAAAGGCTATCGGAGCATTCAGTATCACGTTCGACTCGGAAAAAAAGCAGCTAGTTATTTTGGTTTGTCAAACGGTTTTGGCTTAAAGGGTTAATCCATCTGTTTTAAAGGGTGTTTCTGTGAAATATATATATATATATATATGAACAATGGCTCTTTAATGAGCTCAGTTTGGCGAAATATGGCCCAGTGATAAACTTGCAACCAGTCTAGGGTGTAGCCCGCCTCTCGCACAGGAATTGCTGGATATGTGCACAAGCAAACCCCCATGACCTGAAAAAGAAAAAGTGGGTAAAGATAATGGATGGATGCTTTGGAGAAAGAATTTTATTCTGATTGACAAACCAGCATACAGTGGTGCTTGAAAGTTTGTGAAACATTAGAACTTTCTATATTTCTGCATAAATATGACTTAAAACATCATCAGATTTTCACATAAATCCTAAAACTAGGTCAGGGGAACCCAGTTAAACAAATGAGACAAAGTTATCTTCTATAGCGTACTTGGTCATTTTTTAATTGAGTAAAATGATCCAGTATTGCATATTTGTGAGTGGTAAAAGTATGTGAACCTTTGCTTTCAGTATCTGGTGTGACCCCCCACCCCCACCCCGGTGCAGCAATAACTGCAACCAAACGTTTCCAGTAATTGTTATTCCTCTGTACAGAACAGCTTCAACTCTGGATGTAGGTGAGTTTCCTCGCATTAACTGCTCGCTTCAGGTCCTTCCACAGCATTTGGATTGGATTAAGGTCAAGACTTTGACCATTCCAAAACGTGAACTATATTATTTTACAACTTGTGTACGTAGGCACATTGTGTTGCTGCAGGACCCACCTTCTCTTGAGATTCAGTTCATGGACAGATGTCCTGACATTGTCCTTCAGAACTCTGATATAATTCTGAATTCATTGTTCCATCAATGATGGCAAGCCATCTTGGTCCAGATGCAGCAAAACAGACCCAAACCATGATACTACCACCATCATGTTCAGATGGGATATGGTTTTAATGCAGGAATGTAGTGTTTTCCTTTCTCCAAACATAATGCTTTTCATTTAAACCAGAAGTTATATTTTGGTCTCATCTGTCCACAAAACATTCTTCCAACAGCCTTCTGGCTTGTCCACGCGATCTTTAGCAAACTGCACACGAGCAGCTATGTTGTTTCTGGAGAGCAGTGGCTTTTTCCTTCAACCCTCCCATGCACACCATTGTTGTCAGTGTTCTCCTGATGATGGACTCATGAACATCAGCCAATGTTAGAGAGGCCTTCCGTTGTTTAGAAGTTACCCTGGGGTCCTTTGCAACCTCATCGGCGATTCCATGCCTTGCTCTGCGAGTGATCTTTGTTGGTCCACCACTCCTGGGGAGGGGAACAATGCTCTTGAATTTCCTCCATTTGTACACAATCTGTCTGACTGTGGATTGGTGGAGTCCAAACTCTTTAGAGATGTTTTGTAACCTTTTCCAGCCTCATGAGCATCAATAACTCTTTTTTTGAGCTCCTCAGAAATCTCCTTTTGTTCCTGCCATGATCCACTTCCACAAACATGTGAAGAGCAGACTTTGATGGATCCCTGTTCTTTAAATCAAACAGGGTGATCACTCACTCCTGATCATCATGTCATTGATTGAAAACACCTGACTCTATTTCACCTTGAAATTAACTGATAATCCTAGAAGTTCACATACATTTGCCGATCACAAATCTAATATTGGATCAATTTCCTCAATAAATAAATGATCAAATATAATAGTTTTGTCTCATTTGCTTAAGTGGGTTTTATCCAGTGGGTCTTTATCTACTTTTAAGACTTCTGTGAAAATCTGATTATGTTTTAGGTCATCTTTATGCAGAAATATAGAAAAATTTAAAGGGTTCACAGACTTTCAAGCAAGTGGTTCCGAGGGGAATAATTATAGCAATGTCATCACATCTGAAAAAATTAAGAATGAAAATATCTGAAGAATTGCATAAAAATTTGGAAGATCTAGAACAAAAACACAAACAAAACTGTACACCAGATATATTGGAAGAAATATAAAAAAGAAACAGAAATGAAATGGCAACAGGAAACTATGAAAAACCTCATGTATCTTAAACCGAGACAATATGAAGGTGGTTCAAAAGTTTGAGGATGCTGGCATGGAAACTAAAAAAGAAAACGGCAGAAAATACAATTCATAAAATCAGAAACCCCAAAACAAAAGAGTTAAAGAACAAACTGAATGAAATCCAGGAAGCATTCAAAATATTTTATAAAACTTTATATTCAAAAATTTTGTGAGGAACTATTGACCAAATTGATTAATATTTGAATTCATTAGAACTACCTTCTATGACAGAAGAACAGAACAGAAAAATGACATTAGTCATTAGGGGAAAAAGAACTAAAAAACATAAGTAGATTAAAACCATGTAAATTGCCAGGATCTGACGGCTACACAACAGAATTTTATACGGAATTTCAGAGAGAGCTGATTCCAATCCTCTTACCTACATTAAACTGGGTCTTTAAAAAAGCTCAAATAATCTCATTGATACATAAAGAGAGAAAAGATCAACTGGATTGCGGATCATATCGACCAATATCTGTTTTAAATATCAATTATCGACTTTTCACCTCTATCATGGCCAGATGAATGGAAGAATCCCTTCCTTTCTTTATACATAACGATCAAACGGGGTTCTCAAGACAAAGACAAAAACAGGATAACATACGAAGGACACTACATGTTATAGATCACATACAAAAGAATAAATTGAAAGCCATTGTAATAAATATAGACACAGAAAAAGTGTTTGATTCAGTTGATTGGAATTTTCTCTTTAGGGTTTTACATAAATTTGGACTACACAACAGAATAAAAACAATACAGGAATTATACAGTAATTCCACAGCTAGAATAAAAATTCATGGATATTTATCTGACAGAATCACTTTAGAAAGAGGGTCAAGACAAGGATGTGCATGGTCACCATTACTTTTTGCATTATACTTAGAACCATTAGCCCATTCGTTAAGACAAAATAAGGATATTAAAGGAATAAATATTACAGGGGTGGAACATAAATTGGCCTGTTATGTGGACGATATATTAATTTATGTAGAACAATCGACCTACTCTCTTCCAATCTTGCTGCAATTATTTGAACAATTTGGTCAATTATCAGGATACAAAATTAATATTGACAAAACTCAGCGGCTGTCTTACAATTATAACCCACCGCAGGAAATCCAAACAAGATACTCCTTAACTTGGCATACTGAACAGTTCAAATATCTAGACATTATTATACCAAAAGACCTACAAAACTATTTAAATATAATTATGTTCCCATACAAAAAAGAATTAAAGAGGATGTTAGGGGTCATCAGGACTCTGTACCACAGAGCAGACAGCGTCCCCACTAGCTCAGGAGCCAGGCAGAAGGAGAAATCCCACACAAGACAGGCTCCAGAGCAATGTGGATATCCTAACTGGGCCTTCCTGAAAGCAGAGAAGAAACCCAAACAGGACTCCAGTCAGCCAACAGGTGAAAAGGAGGAACCCAGACCCAGACCAGTGGTCATTCCATTTCATGCTCCATGCTCCCTTTAAAGCAAGGCTGGTGTCTTTCTCCCGTTCAGCCCCTTGGTACACTGCTGAGCTGCGCAAGATGAAAGCAGCTGGCCGTGCTATTGAGAGACGTGTAAAATCATCTGGTCTCTCTGTACATCAGCAGGCATATAAAGAACATCAGAAAGCCTACGCCTTTTCTCTTAAAGAAGCACGGTCCAAATATTATTCTAACATCATCAACAACTGCCCTGGAAACTCTAAACAACTCTTCTCCACAATAAATCATCTCCTTAATCCCATTAAACAGTCTCATGAGGACTCTGTTCAAAAATGCAACCTGTTCCTTTAATTCTTTAAAAACAAAGTTAACTCCATTAGATCTCAGCTCCATAGCCTCCCTGATCTTCGTCTGCCCGTCTGCATTCTGGGTCCCTGAGCTGCTTTGATGAGGTTGTTGAGAGTGAAGTGGAGACCATCATCATGAAAATGAAGCCTTCATCCTGCGCCTTGGATCCCTTCCCCTTGTCTCTCATAAAATCCAATCACTCTGCAATAAGCCCATTAATCACACAAATAATAAATAAGTCACTGCAATCTGGTCAAGTTCCACTGCCTCTTAAAACTGCCATCATTAGGCCTCTTCTGAAAAAATCTAATTTGGATCCAGACATTCTTTCTAATTACCACCCAGTTTCCCACCTCCCCCTTCTGTCCAAAGTGCTGGAAAAAGCAGTTGCTGCTCAGCTGCAGATCCACCTACAACAACACTCCCTGTATGAGAAGTTTCAGTCTGGCTTCCGTGCAGCTCACAGTACTGAGACCGCACTGCTGAGAGTCACCAATGATGTCCTCATGGCTGCTGACACTGGTTCTCCCTCCCTCCTTGTTCTCCTTGACCTCACTGCAGCTTTCGACACTGTGGACCATAGTATCCTCCTTCACCGTCTTCATGTGGAGGTTGGTCTCTGTGACACTGTCCTGGACTGGTTTAAATCTTTCCTCTCCGATAGGCTGGAATGTGTTAGTCTTGGCAATGCCAAGTCCCAGACTGTCTGTGTCTCCTGTGGTGTCCCTCAAGGGTCAGTTCTAGGGCCCCTGCTATTTTCCCTTTACATGCTGCCTTTAGGTCAAATTATTAATCAGTACAACATTTCTTTTCACTGTTATGCTGACGATACACAGCTTTACATCAGGACTGGAGCATCATCTTCACCATTGTCATCTCCTTCTTCTCTCACTGCCCTCTCTACCTGCCTGGAGGAGATAAGGGCATGGATGAATCAGAACTTTATTCAGTTAAACTGCTCCAAAACAGAGGCCATACTGATTGGCACCCCTCACCAGGTTCAAACTTCAACTATAACGACTATTTCCTTTTCTGGACAAGACATCCCCTTCTCCACCTCTGTTACAAGTCTTGGAATAAAAATGGACTCTCATCTTACATTTGAAAATCACATTAAGCATCTGTTTAAAACCTGTTTCTTCCATCTTCGAAATATCTCCAAACTTCGCCCATCTCTCACTCTTGCTGATGCAGAGAAACTCGTCCATGCTTTTGTCTCCTCCAGGCTCGACTCCTGCAACTCCCTGTTTACTGGAATACCCGGCAAAAACCTTCAGAAGCTTCAATATATTCAAAACAGTGCAGCCAGGATTTTATTGAGCTCGTAAATTTGAACATATTACATCCATTCTCCATAACCTCCATTGGCTTCCTGTCACCTACAGAATTCAGTACAAAATTGCTCTCATCACCCATCAGTGTTTATACGGAAAGTCACCAGATTATCTGAAGGACCTTCTTGCTCCATATTCATCCACCCGGTCCCTACGATCACAGAACAGTCATCTCCTCCACCTTCCACAACTAAATTAAGGACCATGGGAGATCGGGCATTCTGTGTGGCTGCCCCCCACCTCTGGAACTCCCTCCCTGAATATCTGAGAGCTCCACAATCATTGACTGACTTTAAAAAAGGCTTAAAGACTTTTCTTTTTAATCAAGCCTATTCTGCCTCCACATGATTGTATCATTGATTTTAGTTGATTTTATTATTGATTTTAGTTGCACTCTGTAGCACTTTGAGATTTTTGTTAATGAAAAGTGCGTTACAAATTAAATTGATTATTATTATTATCATTCCGTATGTGGCGGGAGTATCAGTGAAACTGAGACATTTATTTTCTAAACACAACGTCCCAGTGGCTTTTAAACCCCTAAATACATTACGGCAAAGACTGGTTCATCCCAAAGATCCAGTCCCCCGGCACAAACAGAGCAATGTTGTGTATGCTGTTCAGTATCAGGAGGGCTGTGATCAGTCTTACATCGGGGAAACTAAACAGCCACTGGCCAAAAGGATGGACCAGCACAGAAGATCAACATCATCAGGCCAGAACTCTGCGATCTACACTCATCTCCAGACCAGCGGTCACTCTTTCAGGGATGAAGATGTTCACATCCTGGACAGAGAGGAACGATGGTTTGAGAGAGGAGTAAAGGAGGCCATCTTTGTGAAAAGAAACCGTCCATCATTAAACAGGGGTGGAGGCCTCCGGGTTCAATTGTCCCCCTCTTACAATGCTGTGATTGCTAGTATCACTCAGCCCTCTGTGAACAGTAAACAGCCATCAGGTGCTAATGATCCATTGTTAGGCTGATGGTCCTTCTTGACCATGTGATCAGCTGGTTTTGGTTGTCAGCAGCAAATTGGTTGATCCACTCTGAGAAGGTGCTATTTAAGAGACTGAGCTGAAAACAGAACCTCAGACTGAGGAAGTCTTTTGGATGAAAGACGAAACGTTTCTACATTTTTTTTTGTTGTTGTTTTGCTTCGTTTTGTTTTTTGAATGTCCAGAGGACCAGATTTAACTTTGTTAGAATCAAAGAGGATATTACAAGATTGAATCTTATTCCTTTTCTAAGTTTTAGCTCTTGAATTGACTCAATTAAAATGAACGTACTGCCCAGTCTACTATATTTATTTCAGACCGTACCAAATGAAATTAATCGAAAAGTTTTTATGAGTGGGATAAACTATTATCAAGATTTGGCAAGGTAAAAGACCCAGAATTGGATATAAGGTCTTACAGTTGGAAAAATAAAGGGGAGGCTAGGGGTTGCCTTCTCTTAGAGATTATTGTTTAGCAGCACAAGCAAGAGTACTGATATACTGGTGCGACCCAAAATATAAGGCTCAATAGAAAAATATTGAAACAAATGCGACACCCTTTCCTGTACAGGCAGTTCTGGCTGATGCAAATCTAGAAAGTTTCATAAATAATACAGATGAAAATCTCTCTTAGAGTGTGGAGAACCATTGTTAAAGAAAATACATTAGAGAACGACATTGCAGTCTTAAAATGGATCGCATATGACTCGGACTTTACACCAAACGAACTGGATGCCAGATTTAAAGATTGGACATCCAAAGGAATAACTGCTCTTTGTACAATAATGAACAAAGACATTTTAAGTGATTTTGAGGCACTCAAGAGAAAATATTTTCTGGATAAACAGGATTTCTATTGATTTTTACAAATAAGAAATTTTGTTAGCTTAAAAATTAAGCCAATTTCTGACAAGAATATAAACCTAATGGAAATTTTTATTAATGCTTATAATTAAAAAATCATGGGGAAAATAACCATACAATATATTTTTAAGCAGAGTGTTCCTTTAGAGAGCAAGTACTTATAATACCTCAAGAACTTTCAAAAAGAAACAAAAATCTGATGACCATTTTATTAATAGCAAGTAAAAAGAACATTACAAGAAAATGGTTATCGCAAGACAAACCAACTCTAGACAACTGGATGGATATAACATTTAACATTTATAAAATGGAAAAAAATAACAGCCTCTTTCAATCACAAGACCAAACAGTTTTGTCTATGGTGGCAAAGTTGGGTAGACTGTGAAATTTAAAAGACCAGACACTAACACTTTATTTTAAGAGACCAGCCCTGATGATACCACCCTGATAATCCATTCTCCTATAATAGACACATTTTTCAATTACTTAAAATTATGGTTTTATTTTATGTAATGTAGTTTATTTTTTTTGTATTTCATATTATTTCAGTTTTTTTCTTTTACATTTTGTTTTTCTCTTTTTCTCTACTGACATAATATTTCTCTGGAAATTGGAGTTTTGTTTTGTATATCATAATGCACTGATATATTTATTTTCTCACTATTAAGTACTGAAATGGACATTGTGATGTTGAATCCTAATGTTATGTAAAATTTGCTTCCTTGAGAATCATTAAAGATAAAATTAAAAATTAAAAAAAAACTTTCAAGCACCACTGTATTCTGAGCAGAAACGAGACAAAAATATATTAATTGTTAGTAACTTTCCACAGAAACCCATTTTAAAATGACTTAAATAATACATTACACCATTTTGTGTATAATTATACTTTTTCTAAATTACAATTTCTTGACTGAAACTGACTTTAATTGCAGTCAGTAAATGAGGTAACAACAAAGCGGGCCAACATGATGAGTGACATGCACTTCAGGAGCCTCCGTACCAAACTGTCTCTTATGCTGCGGAACGAAGAGGCCAGCAGGCAGCTGGAGGTACAACACACACATTTGCACATTGTCCCAATAAATAAGGCTCACAGATCGATGTTTAACAGCAATAATTCTGCCAAGTTTTTTACCCCCTTTTTTTTTTTTTTTAAGAGTTCCAGACAGCTAGCATCACGATTTCATGAACAATTTGTAGTTCGGGATGATCTGATGGGTTTGGCCATTGGGACTCACGGAGCCAACATCCAGCAAGCCCGTAAAGTTCCCGGAGTCACGAACATTGACTTGGATGAAGAGACCTGCACCTTCCACATATATGGGGAGGTAAGATAACCCAGCTGACACAAAACACTGACTGAATCATTAATATCAGCACAGTATAGTTGAGTCAAAGAGGTTTTGGTACATTTGTTTTTTTTGTTCCTCAGGATAAAGATGCTGTCCGTTTAGCCAGGAGTTTCCTTGAGTTCTCAGAAGATGTCATTAAAGTTCCCCGGAACTTAGTAGGTGAGAAACAAGATGTACATTTATTTTAGTATTACTTATATCTAAAATGTCAACAGATTATGACTGAGGCTACTTTTGCCCCCTGTAGGTAAGGTGATTGGCAAAAATGGCAAACTGATCCAGGAAGTGGTTGATAAGTCTGGTGTGGTGAGGGTTAGAATTGAGCCAGAGAGTGATAAAAAGCCTTCTGCAGCAGCATCAGCTGTGAATGAGGTCAGTGCAGAATAATTTTTTTTTGTTGCAAAAGACACACAAAAAGACGCACAAAAAAATCCATAAAAATATTGGTGCTTGTACAAGTAAGCTAGCAAAGTAAGCTAGTAAATTTCAAGAGTATTCATGATGCTTTTCATGTTCTGTAACTGCAATATAGGGAATGGTGCCGTTTGTGTTCGTGGGGACAAAGGAAAGCATTTCTAATGCAACAGTGCTGCTGGATTACCACCTCAACTATCTGAAGGTTTGTGTTGCACTCACATTGTTGTGGCTTGCTGCCACGATCGTGTTCAAAACAGCTGAGACGGTCACCTTAGTTCAAAAGATTTATTTGACAAACAGGAGTTACAGGTATTCAGAGACAAACAATTACATTTGTAAAATATATGCATATATTTGGAGCATTAAGAACGAACCGTCTCGGTCTGCGCTTCCCCGGAAATGCTCGCTGGGCGTGTGTCATTTCCGGCTTTTATCAAAGCCTGAGAAGGCTAGCTTTCTGATTGGTTTAGACCCGGTTACTATGGTTACTGGTCTAGCCCGCCCCCCTCTTACTGCATTCCAGAGATAAGATATGGAGGCTTGGTTTCTTGTCTGCTTTCGAACTGTTCACACTCTAGTTTCAGTTTAGCTTGATTATACCTTATTGATATTTGAGTTAAAATTGTTTCTTTCTAGGAATAATTAATAACTATTAATTATTAACTAACTCATGTTTATGTGTTTTTAATTGATCCCTCTGACTTATAGAGAACCTGAGGGATTTTATTTAGTCAAACTTATATTAAGTCTAAATTAAAGAAATGTGTTCTAGCTTTATTTATGTTAATCAGTGTGTATGTGAACTTGTAAAATTATCATTAGCTAATATAAGATTATATGTAAAGGTAAAATAGTTAGAATTAGTAAACATTTTCTATAAATATAGTTCAACCCTTGAAGAAAGACACACACACACTTTGTATAACATGACATTTGAATGCTTGATAGGAAATATAAAAAGGTATAAAAATATGAAATCCGACAATCCCTCTTTTGATCTCCCCATATTCATGGGAGATCACACCCTTTTGGATTTGTCCAGATGGAAGTGACCCAAACTTACCCCAACCCTCCAGGGGTCCTGGACCAGACCCCTGGTTCAAACCCTTCAAAACCTGTAAAAAATACCAAATGCATAAACCTTTATAAAAATACAAAAAAAAAACTACAACACTCCTAGTAAAAGATAAATACCCAACACACTAAAATAAGTAAAACTCTACCCTAATACCAAAATTGACCTCCTGTTAAACCACCTTTAAAATACCTTGTGGGATTTTAGAATGATTAAATGCCCAATTGAATGGAGTAAAATTTTGAATAGTTAAGAGTTTCCAATTGAATCCACGACCCTTCTCTGGTTGTTTTTCAGAATGACTGAAAGGAAAGACAAGACACTCATGTTAAACAAGAAAAGACAAAACACTCAATTTAAACAGGACTATCTAAGTCGACCCCCCTCTGTGACAAATTCAAGGAATGTTGCTTGTCTTTTAATTTAACCCAACTGATCGACTCCCCCACTAGATTAAATAAAAATTGTCCTTATAAATCCTCCATCTTAGACCTGTTTCTAACTAATATGCCTCACAAATTCCCTGGTACAGGTGTATTTGCTGATCTTTTGAGTGATCATTGTGTGACAGCTGCTTTAAGAGATATTAAACTTCCACCTTCTAAGCCCAGATTAATTCAAAAAAGGGATCTGAAACGTTTTTGTGAACAGTCATTCCTCTGGGATCTGTCTCACTTTGACTGACATCGTATTCTGTTAACTGATGACGTGAACTCTGCTTGGAACTATTTCCATAATAATTTCATTTATTTCATGAACATACATGCTCCTTTTCGTCAGTTCAGAATAAAGGGACGAGACAGCCCCTGGTTTACTCCAGAGCTAGCTGACCTCCTGCACAGGAGAGACCATCTTTGGGCTGCAGCGAGAAAATCTGGCTCAGACACTGATTGGTTGAGTTTTCGACAGATGAGGAATAAATGCACAACTGCTGTTAAAGCAGCAAAACGCAACTATTTCTTATCTCAGACCTCCAAAAATCTAAATGACCCTAACAGATTCTGGAAAACTATCAAATCTCTCTCAGGCACCCCCCATTCATCTGACCTCCCATCACAACTTCTCGTTAATTCTGTTCCTGTGTCAAATAAGCACGAGATCCTGAACTGTTTCAACAAACATTTTGTTGCTTCTGGTTCTTTATTTGACACAGTTACTAATGGAAGATCAGCCACTTCCCCTAATAACCAAACTTCTACAAATCAAATCCCTCCTACAAGTCAATCCTCAGTTAATCATAGCTTCTCTTTTTCTCCATTCTCAGTCAGTGAGGTCAATAAACTGTTAAAAGATCTTGATCCTAAAAAATCTGCAGGTCCAGATGAACTTCCACCTTATTTCTTAAGGCTGCTGCTCATATCATCACAGTCCCTGTGACCCACATCTTCAATCTCTCCATAAGACAAAACTCCATCCCAGACACTTGGAAAACAGCCTTTGTTCTTCCTTTGCTGAAGGGAGGTGACCCCACCTCACTGAACAACTATCGACCAATCTCTAAACTCTGCATTTTAGCCAAGGTTCTAGAAAAACTGATAAACTCTCAAATCAAAGATTACCTGGACTCATTTAACATCTTACCTCCACATCAATCTGGTTTCAGGAAACAACACAGCACAACCACTGCTTCACTGAAGGTTCTTAATGATGTTGTTGAAGCACTGGATGCTAAGGATTATTGTGCTGCACTTTTCTTAGACCTGTCTAAAGCTTTTGACACTGTGGATCAGAACATCTTGTGTCATAAACGCTCAGAAATCGGTTTCTCAGAACACACTATTGGTTGGTTCTCTAACTATCTTTCAGACCGGAGGCAATGTGTTCAACATAATGGTACTTCCTCCAGTTATTTAACAGTCAACAATGGTGTACCACAAGGCTCAGTCTTAGGACCCACCCTCTTTACAATCTACATACATAATGTAGGTAAAAACATCCCTAATGCATCCATACATTTCTATGCTGACGACACAGTTGTTTATTGTCGAGCTAAAACTGTTGCTAAGGCTTTCCAGCTTTTGAAATCTGCATTCAACATCATCCAGACTGATTTGTTTCGCCTCAAACTTGTCCTAAATGCCGACAAAACCAAAGGGATGCTTTTTTCAAATAGGAAGTTGGTCCCAGCAGTTCTTCCTCCGATTTTATCCTCAAATGGTGTCCCCATTGAGTTTGTTGATTCTTATAAATATTTGGGTATCTTGGTCGACTCACATCTCTCTTTTAAGCTCCATGTGGAAAACTTGATAAAGAAACTGAAAGTTAAACTGGGTTTCTTTTTCAGAAACAGATCCTGTCTAACCCTGAATGCTAGGAAACGTCTTGTATCTGTGACTTTCCTTCCCTCAATTGATTTTGGTGACATTATTTACATGAACGCTCCTACAAGAACCCTGCAGATGTTGGATGCTGTCTATCATGGTGCACTAAGATTCATAACTGGCTGTGATTATCGTACCCACCACTGCACACTGTATTCACTGGTTAACTGGACATCATTAACTTCACGCAGACTCTCTCACTGGTACATTTTCATCTTTAAATCACTTCTTGGTCTGCTGCCTTCATACATCTCCTCCTACATGTCTCTGTGTGAGTGCAGCTACAGCGTGCGCTCTCAGGACATTATTACCTGCAGTGTTCCCTCAGTGAGGACTGAACTAGGCAAAAGGGCCTTCTCCTATTCCGCTCCTGTTTCCTGGAACATCTTACAAAAAGATTTGAAGCTCTCGATCTTGACCTCTCTAAGTGTCTTTAAGAATCTGTTGGACACCTGGCAGGGTCCAATGCAGACATGTTCCTGTTTTTAGTTTTCTACATTTGTCTTGGAATCTAGCTGGGTTTTTTTTTTGTTTTGTTTTGTTACCTTTTCCTTTTAGCCATCCTATTTGTTAAAAAAAAACAAAAAAAAAACTGTAGTATGCTTTTTTTTTATAACTGTTTATTGTTGTTGCTGTTGTCCATTGTTGTCATCTTTCTTTGTTGAAATCAGGTCTCTCTTGTAAATGAGTCCTCGAGGCTCAATGGGATTTACCTGTATACATAAAGGTTGATTGAAAATCCCACCTCCTCTGCCCTGTGCGTGCGTTCACTTATGTGGAGCACACAACCACATTGCGTAAATCCGAGCGCCTGTTCATATTCAATTCAATTCAGGTTATTTATATGGCGCCAAGTCACAACAGAAGTCATCTCAGGGCACTGAACAGAAACATTCATATGTAAAAACAAGTTAACAGAAATATCCATATATACAAATAATAATTTAAGACTATCTGAGGAGCAGACTGCTTTAAATTTAACTCCATCACAGAACTCTCATCCTGAGCAAGCATGAAGGCGACAGTGGAAAGGAAAAACTTCCTCATGAGGAAGAAACCTTTAGCAGAACCAGGCTCAGGACAATTTGTCATCTGCTTCAACCGGTTGGGTTTGGTAGGAACAGATACCGCTAACTCTATTAAGAGCATTGTTCTGTGAAATTATCTTAAAGAAAAATACAGGTTCAGGGAAAGGTCGGAGCAATGAATGAAAACTCACGGGCTGGTTCTGCTAGGATAATAAGTGTCATTTATTAAACTGCCACAGATACAGCGAAGCAAAGCACAAGTACATTCAGTACAAATCAAACATTGATGTAAAGCCCCTCACCGTGACACCGACTGGGGAGCCGTTTCAGTCCGAGTAGAAAGGTAACATCAATTGGCTGGGCATCGGATCAGGATCCACAGCAGACTCCAACTCTAATTCTGAGTGTCACACTTTAATACTCTCTGCATTACATGGGAACATCTCCCAGCAACATGCCCACCTGGTCTCAAAGTCTGTGAAAAACCCTTGAGATAGCGTGAGAGCGTGAGAAGCTTAAAAAACTCCAGATAACGAGGGAGCGTGAGAAGCTAGGGTGAGCAAAACCTCCAGATAGCGTACAAGAGGAGGCGGGCCGGGCCTCCTCCTCAGGCCTCTGGGTAACTCACAACAACATGCAAAAAAAAACACTTTATATCACAGGTTAAAATAGTCAGAAAAACAACATTCTATTGAATTCTTTATTCATTCCACCCTTTGGTTTTCTGACTAATTTTGCCCTTACCAAAAACACTTCATATCACCAGTTAAAATAGTCAGAGAAACAACATTTTAAACACTTTTATATCGCAAGTTAAATAGTCAGAAAAACAACATTTTATTGAATTCTTTATTCAAGCATGTTTTCTGTGAAACTTCTCAGATAAGTTCCAGGTCACCTGGAACTTATTGTATGCTGGAAGCCTGAGAGGAAAGGGATGGTTAATGTTGTGGTGGTATGGAGTGACTGGACCATCTCTCATTATATGTACGTCTGTTCTGAATTCAGCTGACTAAAATTGAAAGATTTTCAAACATGGATAAATGGTGAAAAATATGTCGATATTCCTCATGAAACCTGTTAATGAGCCAATGTTAATACTAAATTCAGCCACACTTTGATGTTTTCATTTGTCCACAGGAAGTGGATCAGTTGCGTCTGGAGCGTCTTCAGATTGATGAGCAGCTGAGACAAATTGGAGGTGGTGGGGGAGGAGGAGGAGCGGGACCCCGAAACCCTAAAGACAAAGCCTACGTGTTTGACAATGGCATGGGGTTGGGAATGGGCAGAGGAGCTGGAGGAGGAGGGAAAACCTATGCAGGTGGAAGAGGTGGAAGAGGGCGGCGAGGGGGAGGTGCAACTTTCACCTCTGGTACAATAATCCCACTGTATCCTGAGTTGTTATCAAACCCAACACTTTATTGTTCCACAATGTCTTTACAAGGAAGTCAAAACCCACTTTGCTTTTTGTCCTACAGGCACCAACTCAGAGGCATCCAATGCTTCAGAGACGGAGTCCGACCACAGGGAGGAGCTCAGCGATTGGTCACTTGCTCCCACTGAGGAGCTGATGACAGGAGGCGGGACCCTGCCAAGAAGGATGGATGGGAGAAAGAGAGGAGGTGGAGGTCCGAGGGGACGAGGCGGAAGAGGACGAGGAGGATATAAAGGTTTAAAAAAGCTACTGTCCTCATTGCACTGATACATCACTCAATGTAATCTTTTACCATACCATACCAATTTTTTTATAGAGCACTTAAAACAACAACAAGGCCAACCAAAGTGCTGTACAATAGAAACAAACAAACACAGCGGACAGGAAAACACAAAATAAAAATATAGATACAAATAGCAGCAGATAATAACTAAATGGCCAACACTGTAGAATACAGACATGATAAAAACAAATCACACACTGTCAAAGGCAAGGGAATAAAAGTGGGTTTTCAGGCGAGACTTAAAGACTGTGAGTGTGGGAGCCTGTCTGACACGCAGTGACAACTCATTCCACAGTCTTGGACCTGCAACAGAGAAAGCCCTGTCACCTCTGAGCTTGTGACATGTTTCTGGAACTGAAAGGAGCATCTGGTCTGCTGATCTCAGAGAGCGCGGTGGGACATATGGCTGTAGAAGATCAGTGAGATAGGCTGGGGCAGAAGATTTAAAAACATACATGAGTATTTTGAACTAGATCCGAAGATGAATGGATAACCAGTGCAGGGAGGCCAAAATTGGAGAAATGTGCTCTCTATGGCTTGTACCAGTTAAAAATCAGGCTACAGCATTTTGGACCAGTTGTAGACGTGCAATGGAGGACTGATTGATTCCAAACAGAAGCGCATTGCAGTAATCGAGCCTGGATGTTATGAATGCATGGATCACTGTCTCAAGATTCTTTTTGGACAGTATGGGCTTCAGCTTAGACAGTTGCCTCAGCTGAAAAAATCATGCATACGTGACTGTTAAGTTTCAGGGAGGGGTTCATTATCACTCCCAAATTGGTGACTCTTTGTTTCTAATGGAGCTAGAGAGAAAAGGTCAATGCAGTGGTTCATGAACGTGCCATTGGGATGGAACAAGATGACTTCAGACTTCTCATTGAAACTTAAGAAGTCTAAAGCCATCCAGTCTTGGATGTCAGCCAGGCAGTCAAGAAGAGGCTGAATAGAGCGTGTGTGCCTCTGTGCCTCAGGGAAAAATAAATTTGACAGTCATCGGCATAGAAATGAAAGGGAATGTTGTGATTGTGGAAAATAGCACCTAGTGGCAGCAGATATAAAGAAAAGAGAAGGGGACTGAGGATGGACCCCTGCGGTACCCCCCACTGAAGCGCTGCCGATGCTGAACTGAAATCTTTGATACTGACACAAAAGGTTCTGTCAGAGAGGTAGTGACCCTGTGATGCCCACCCACTGCTCTAGTCTAGAAATGAGGATCCCATGGTCGATGGTGTCGAAAGCAGATGCAAGGTCCAATAGGACAAGCAGCACAGAATCACCTGCATCAGTGGCTAGGAAAATTTCGTTAAAAACTTTCAGTAGAGCAGTTTCAGTGCTGTGGAGAGATTTGAAGCCAGAGTGGAATAACTCTAGGATAGTGACCCACCAAGAAGCACTTCAACTGAGACTCAACTATTTTTTCCAGTAGTTTAGAGGTGAATGGGAGTCTGGAGACAGGCCGGAAGTTGGACATGACTGAGAGGTTGAGATTGGGTTTTTTTCAGGAGAGACTGGACAGCAACATGTTTAAAAGTTTTTGGCACCACACCTGAGGATAAATTGCTATTCACAATAGCAAGAATAGAAGGACACAGAGTAGGAAAAACCTCCTTTAGTAGTCAAGGGGGACCACATCAAAAGGGGAACCAGATGGCTTCATGCTGCACATTACCTGCTCCAGGGAAGACAAAAGAGATTGGCTCAAAGTGGTCAAATATAGCTGCACATTGAGATGGGATGGAAGGATTGTGAGCTGGTGGAGAAATGAGTGCCCGGTTGTTCACAACTTTTTCTAAGAAGAAATTGAGGAAGTTCTTACACAGTTCAGTTGAGGCTTCCAGAGATGATGGTTCACTGAGGTGTAGAACTGCATTCAGGGTGGAAAAAAGAACTCGGGGGTTGTGGGAGTTGGAGACAATTATATCAGAGAAGAATTTAGATTTAGCAGCTTTAACTGCTTTCTGATAACGACGCCAACTCTCCCTTAGCATTTGAAAAGACACCTGCAGCCGGTATTTCCTCCACCTGCGCTTTGCTCTCCTACATTGCTGTCTAAAGGCTTGAGTGATGTCTTTAAGCCAAGGTTCTGATCTAAGTTTTGTTTTTCTGGTTTTAACGGGAGCAACACTGTCCAGAACATTTAAACAGACAGAGTTGAACTGAGAGGGTAGCTCCTCAATGGGAAGAGACACCAAGAGCTGTTCGATCCTCTCAGAGTTAAAAGCTTCAATAAAACGAAGAGCAGTGAAATGGTTAATGGTGCGTGTGGTACGTGTCGGAGCGCACAGCTTAGCAGTAAGACAAGGAGGGGTGAAGTCAAACAATACAGGCATGTGATCTGAAAAAGCATTGTCGCCGATTTCCAAATTACAAACAGAGACATTGTGTGTTAAAACGAGGTCCAGCGTGTGACCGTGTTCTTGGGTGGGACCGTTTACCTGCTGAGATAAATTAAAAGAGTCCAATAAATCTAGAAAGTCTTTCACTAAGGGCTTCTCTTGACAACACACGTGAATATTAAAATCTCCAATAATTAAAACATGATTGTATCTCGGTGTGATATCAGCCAAAAAGTCAGAGAATTCACTTATGAAGCCCTTGGATCGAGGGGGGGGGGGGGGTGTGTAGACAAGTGCGCACAGAACCGGAGGAGAATGTCTGAGTTCAAAGACGCTCAGCTCAAAGCTGGAGCGGGACACTGGGATGGCCAACTCTTTACAGGCAAAGTTTGGTTTAAAGACTGTTAATAATCCACCACCATGCCAGCTTGATGGCCGCGGGGCATTAAAACACAGACAGTTTGGAGGTAATAATTCCAGCAAGACGCTGGACTCACTATCAGATATCCAAGATTCCGTGACGTAGAGAAAATCCAACTGTTCATCTTCAAAAAAGTCATTGAGGATAAAAATCTTGTTGGAAACAGATCTTGCATTGATCAAACACATCTTGATAGGGTCCAGTGCAGACACAGCCGTGGTGGGTGGAGCGCGCGCCAGCGGCCGCAGATTTTGAAGAACAGCACCTCCTGGTTGGCTTGTGTGGCGCGCAGGTAAACAACTCCAGTTGTTTACATGGACTGAGCGCACGGGTAGCTGGCCAGCAGCAGGGTCCCTGAAGCACCACGAGTCAGAGAGGCAATGATCAGATCCAGAGCGAGCCCCATAACTCTTGATAGAATAATCCACACGGTGCCTTAGTTTCACCAAAACCCTTGCACGCTTCCCACAAAGTTTTCTCCAGGGAGAAAGGTCAAGGTCACGTAGAAGGAATGCAGGAATCTCAGACAGAACCGGTGGAGGAGAGTGCTGACCGCTGCACAAAAACTCCGCAGTTATTTCAGCAATTGTACGGAGCTCCAAAAGTGCCCGACGATCATACTGCAAATATGATTCGGTACACTGCACAAAACATTGTAAAAATAATTAAAATAGAAGAAAAACAGAGAGTGAGGGACAGCAAGCCCTACACACCGGCGCTATCTTGGAAAAAATCTTATTGTGAACATACTGTCGAACAGCTCGCTTTTCACTTAATAATAAAGACCTCATTCAGAGTTTTCACATGCCAGTGACAAGTTTAGCAATTAGTAATTCCATTTGGCCAAAATATTTCTATTTTTTTGCTCTGCATTTAGAAGACATGCAGTGGAGCGACCCAAGACCTCGCCATATCAGAGACCCCAAAACAAGACCCCAAGAAGACACCTTACAGGTAACACATGCAAACATACCTGCAAACTTGTCACTTTTTGGCAAAATTTGACGTTTTCAAACTAAAATATGTCATTTACATGAATCATCTAGGTCCAAAGAGTTTTTTGTTGGTTTTTTTTTTTTGGAGGGGGGGGGGTTAGAGGCATGGTGCATACCTGAAAGCTTGTCGCTTTTTGATGAAATTTGCTGATTTCAATCTAAAATGTGTCATTTACTTGAATCGTTCAGATCCGAAGAGTTTTTGTTTTCGTGGGGGGGCGGGGTCAAAGGCGTGGTGGATGGCATAATTTTCTTTTAATAAACAGCATTCCTCCTCTGTCATTTAGCTTAGCAGGTGCTCATCTCTTTGGGGGTTTTGTTGGGATGTATGAGAAGCGGCGCGCGTAGCATCTTAGCTAGCACATCTGTATTGTGCACGGCGAGATTTTGCCTTAAGATTTGAAAAGTCCAGCTGATGGAGTTATAAAGAACATCTTGAAGAAGAAATATCATGCTGGGGAGAAAGAAGCCGAGTAACACAAGTTTTCTGGAAAGTAAAATGGTAGAATCAGTGATAGGGAAGGAATAGGGGACAGGAAAACAATGTGAGAAGGAGATGGATGTTATTCCAAGTGGATTGTGAAGAAAAGGAGAACAAAAGTTATTCAGTGTAGAAATTGTGACACCAAGGTAGGAAGGAACCTGTAAATTATTTAGTTTTATTAATTACATACAGGTTGACAAAACTGACTAAAATGATTTTGTTTTGTTTTTTGTCTCTCGCTTGGCACAGTGTAGTTTTGAGTTGTGAGGGCTGCATGATGCCAGGTTATTTTTTACGAGTCTATCACTAAATCAGAAAACAGTAAAAAGCCCCTAAGTTCACTGCTGGTGGTTATTAAAATGTCACCTGTTCATTGGGTAAAGTTAATATTTAAACATACAGTTGAGTATCATCATTGCTTATCACAACGGCCCAGGCCTCCCTTGCAAAAAAGATCTGTGGTCTCAATGTGATTTGCCTGGTTAAATAACTTAATAAGTAAAAAAATAAATATATATATATATATATAAATATATATATATTTTATAAGATTTTATTTTTTTAAATCTTTCTTTTTTTCTTTTCTTTTTTGTGTGTTGTGTGTCATGCTTCTGTGGACTACAAGTCTGATGAATAAAGTAATCAATCAATCAATGGACTAGTTGAATGAGATGGCTCTAAAATATCCCGATGCATTATCAGTAATTTAAAGAATTTTTTTATCCGTCCAGAAGACCTGACAATTTTGTTAGATGTCTCTGAAATAATTATTGAATCAAGTGTTTACATTTCATTCAACCTTTATTTAGACAGGTTAATCCCATTGAGCCTCGTGGACTCGTTTACAAGAGAGACTTGATTTTATTTATTTATTTATTTATTTATTCATTTTATAATAAGAAGAATACATATCAATTTACATGTATGTAATTTGAAAACAAAAATAAAATGAAAGGCAGCAGATGAAGATAAAATCTTATTAAGTCTGCTCCTTATTTATCTAATAAACAATTTAAACAAACATTTACTGTAAGTAACAAAAACAAATAAATAACTTGCTTAATTTTTCAATTAACAAACATTTTCAATGAATTACATTCATGTATAAACAAAAAAAGGTTGAATCATGTCATCTGGACTTCGTTTTTTTTTTTTTTTTTTGTTATTTTTTTGTTAAAAACGAACGAAAAAAACGAAGTCCAGATGACATGATTCAACCTTTTTTGTTGTTATATACCTGGATGACTGAGAAAACAAACTTTGTGTTACATTCATGTATATTTTTTTAACAATTTGATTTTTACCAGTTTCTTAAATACCAAGATTGATTTGGCTTCCTTAATATCTGTCTCTAAGTCATTCCATAAACCAACACCCTGAATTAAGGTAGATCTTCCCTTTAAACTAGTTCTGAACTGCGGTTTAACAAAAACATCTTTCCCCTTAAGATTGTAACAGCTTGATCTTTTCACAAAACACATTTGAATATTAGAAGGTAGTGTATTTGTATGAGCTCTATACATAAGTGACAAAATGTTGTAATCCACCAAATCATAGAATTTCAACAGTTTCATTTGATTAAATAAAATACTTGATGGATGATAATAATGTTTTCTTGTAATAATTCTTACAACTCTTTTCTGCAATATAAAAATAGGCTTTGTAATTGATTTACACGCTTTTCCCCAAACATTAACACAATAAACCAAGTGTGGAACAACAATTGTATTATACAACAAAAACAATGCTTTATCATTTAGTAGATACCTAACTCTATAAAAAATTGCAATAGATTTGGATATTTTCGTTTTAACAGAATTTATATGTTGTTTCCACGACAGTTTATCGTCAATGATGACACCCAAGAATTTCACCTCATTAACTCTACAAATCATTGAATCTTCAATTTGAAATGGAACATCAATAGTTTTATTTCTATTACTAAATATCATGTAATTTGTTTTATCCAAATTTAAAGATAATTTGTTTAGTCTAAACCATTTCTGAATTTTAACAAACTCCGTCATCATTGACTCCAATAACTGTTCAATATTTTTACCAGAACAAAAAAATGTTGTGTCATCAGCAAAAAGAACGCATTTAAGGAGGCCAGACACCTTGACCAAATCATTTACATACAAAATGAACAACTTTGGGCCAAGTACGGATCCTTGAGGAACTCCACAAGTAATAGTACAGTGATCCGATTTCACATCATTCATCTGTACAAACTGTCTCCTGTTTTTCAAGTAACTACACACCCATTGTAAAGCTAAACCTCTGATACCATATTTGTATAATTTATCAAAAAGAATATTATGGTCAACAGTATCAAATGCCTTTTTCAAGTCAACAAACACACTTACACAATATTGTTTACGGTCAACCGCAGTAGTTACTTGTTCCATAAAGTCCATAAGCGCCATAGATGTTGAATTTTTTGTTCTAAAACCATATTGATTATTAGTTAGAATATTTTGTTTTTCAATAAATTGGTCCAGTCTGTTACTGAATAGTTTCTCCAAGATTTTAGAAAACTGTGGTAACAAGGATATCGGTCTGTAGTTATCAAACACACATTTGTCACCATTTTTAAAAAGAGGAAATACCTTAGCCACCTTCATTCTGTCTGGAAATACTCCCATTGTAAAGGACAAATTACATATATGTGTAAATGGTTCAATTACATGACCCATTATGTTCTTTATGAATGTCATGTCCATATCCATCCAATCCTTAGAGTTTTTGTTTACAAATTTATTGACTACATTCATTATTTCATCTTTATCAGTTCCCTTCAAGAACATACTGTCCAGATAATCATCAATTAAATAGTTCCCATAATTATTCATCTTTGGTATCGTTGTTGCAAGACTAGTTCCAACATTCACAAAGTATTGATTAAATCCATTAACAATTACATTTTCATCATATATTGTCTCATTATTTATTGTAAAGTTCTGTGAAATGCCTGTTTTTCCTATATTTTTTTTTGTAGAACACTATTCACGACCCGCCATGTTGCCCTGGTATCCCCATTACTTTTATTCAATAAGTCACTATAATATTCTTTCTTATGTTTTCTTATAATCCCAACTAATTTGTTTTTATATTTCTTATATTTATCTTCTGCATCTTGTGTTCTGCATTTCAAGAAACATAAATACAAATAGTTTTTCTTCCTACAAGCATTTCTCAGTCCATTTGTCATCCACTGCTGGTCAACAACATTCTTCTTGGTGTAATTATTTAGTACACAATTTTTTTTATATAAAGCATCCAAGATATTCATAAACACATCATAAGATTTGTTTACATCATCAACATAGACACTATCCCAGTTTTGTACAGCTAAATCATTTTTCAAATTTTCCAAAGCTTGCTTGGATGTATTTATTATTTTTTTCTTTTTAGGAAATGTTTTTGTGCTTATTTGATACTTACTATAAATTGTAAAAACCGGTAAATGATCACTAAGATCATTCATCAAAATACCCCCAATCACATCCCCATTTGTTGTGTTTGTAAAAATATTATCAATTATTGTTGCACTATGAGTCGTGATTCTTGTTGGCTTCGAGATTAATGGGTAAAGATTTAAAGTTTGCATTGAGTCAATAAATGTACTGATGTTATTAGAATCTGTTTTTTTCCCCAAATCAATATTAAAGTCACCACATAAAAAAATTGTTTTGTTACAGCTCTTATCTAATAGTTCAATAATTTTATCTGTGAATGACTCAATATTCGATCCAGGTGGTCGGTATACACAACTTATTATGATATTTCTATCATTTTTATTTAAAATTTCTATTGTTATCATCTCAATTGAGTTCTCATCAGTTGTTGACATTTCCCTGTTTAATTTACATTTTATTGCACTATTGACGAATAAAGCCACACCACCACCTCTTTTATTATTTCTATTTATATTATATAATTCGTACCCATCAATTTGGGCATTAATAATATTTTCGTCATTTAACCACGTCTCAGACAATGCTATTATTGTAAATGTTCTATTTAATTGTTTTAAATAATCTGTTATCTTGGAAATATTTGCATTTATACTCCTACAATTGAAATGAATTATAGAAAAACCAGGCTTTGTCAAACTGATATCATTAAATTGTTTTTCACTATAATAATCACAATCCTCTATTTTCGGATAAAAACCTGGATCAATCAAATCAACAACGTTATATATTTTCGGTTCTAAGTCAGCATAAGCTGTCATAGTTAAAACATCCGTTCACCAGACTAATGTTTTAACAATTATGTATTAAAGATAATTTTGATGATTTGAAAGTTGCCATTTCATTGGATTATTTGAATTTTTCCAAGTCCTTTATTTCCTTTATTATTTTAGGTTGTGATTCTTCTTGTACTTTTATCCAAACGTGTCCATTTCTTGTCCATGTCGATATTATACTTTTTTGTTTTTTTAACAACCTCGCCTCCCGTGCAATAGTTGC